CAGCAAACAGTCTAGAATGAGAATACATGCTTTTTATGGTTTCAACCTCTAAAAACGTGTAAAAAACACTTGTTTTCACTGAAAAACACAGGCCTGTATTCCGACGCACTCTCAAACCCTAACCCTGATTCACAAATCCCCCTGGAGTTAAGGAAATTTTGCGGGCAGATTCGGGGTCAAAGATACGTTCGAAAGAAGAGGGTAGTTCCAGGAGAGTATTAGTAGGGACCTGCTAACTCTAGGCTTCACCTTGTACGCTACATGCCAAAATTCGAGAAGCATAGATGGTTTTGAAATCTGATTTGCCACTACAACTTATAAGGAATTTCAGGGCCAAACATTGCTTCCTGGGAAACCCCCTAGGGGTGCTGCAGCATGGATCAATGGGAAATGCCACTGGCATAATCGAAATTTTGTTGGGTCATGCTTTTTTAAGCTTCGGTACTTGAATTTATTTAGATGTCTATTGATTTTACTTGCAATAGAATCAGATGTCAATGGATTTTACTTAGATTTCTATTGAGTCAACTTGGAATCCAGTCAGGTGTCAATGGTTTTTTTATTGGATTCCTATTGTCTCCACTTGGAGCCCACTCATATTGCAACGAATGTCATTTACCTGTCTATTGATTTTACTTGGAATCCAACCAGATTTTGATGGATTTTACTTTCTAATGGATCTTAATTAGATTTCTATTAATTTAACTTGGAGTCCAATCAGATTTCAATGGATTTTAATCAGATGTTCATTTCCGTCTGGCATCTGGCTCCCCTGGAATAATGGGCCCTGGGTTATTACAGGGGGGGACCGGGGGGCGCCCTTATGAATCACAAGCCGGGATCACTATATTACATTATAGTGATTTGAAGTATGGCGCACTGTTGCATGAAAGAAATGCAGGTTGCTGCAAGTTTCTGTGCTACGCTTAACCTTTGCTGCGCTGCTATCTGCATACAGGCAGCAACTCAGTAACATCTAACGATGCTGCTGAGCACAGGACTGCGATGCATCTCGAGAAACTTCACATTCTCCGACTTCTCCTCGGATCAATCTTGACTCTTCCGTGTCTTGTATGGCACGAACCAAATACAGCCACACCCCGGTCAAGGTGATCGCTAGACATTCATTACCATTAGCAGGCGCAGTGCCGAGGTGCATATTCCAGTGACGACACAAAACGCGCCTTGTCCTCGGAGTTCAGACAGCACTGAAAAAGCGAATCACAAACCTCCTTGCGAAGGCCAAGCCCGCTGATGCTTCGGCGCATATTCTCATCCCATGCCAGCTTCTTATGGGAAAATGGCCCAACACCACCCTCGCCCTCGCACTGCGGGCAGGAGACTCCCGCAGCTTTCACCTCCAGGACAAGGCGCTCATCTTCTGCGGTCTTCCTTGCCTTTTTTTCTCAGAGTTTGGAGATGCATGTTGGCATAGCTTTTTCCGTGCGTAAAGCCTCCGCGACTGTCTCAGTATTTGGCCAATCCACAGCAACGCGAATGCAAAAGCACGGTGAGCTTCCAGCCTAATGGAATGCGCTTATGAACTGACTGGAACCTCCACGTAATCCAAGCATGTGTGAAGTTTTGGATTCTCCTACTTCCAGAAGAAAACTGGCCAAAGTTGAAAGCGCCGTTAACTGTAGTGTGTCAACTGGGGAGAAGATGCCCTCCGTCCTACAACTCCCCATGCAAGTCCACAATGCCTGCACTATCTCCACTGCGAGATTTTCAGCCAAAGCATAATGTCTGTTCAGTTCGGAATTGCGTACCATCTTGAATGATTCCGAACCCTCCTTTGCAGCATCTCGCCTTGAGCGCCTCCCGGAGTTCCTGGAAGACAGCATCCGGTGTCGTGCAAAGCTGACAAATGCAAAAGTGACACCGCATCTAGATGTGGCAGTGCATGCAGTTCAGCTTCCCAGCATCTGCCGAATGCTTCCTTTGCATTTCATGGAGCACGAACACAGAGAAAACACAACCACCATCAACTTTCCGTTTCAGCGCACAGTAATTGCCGCACTGCAAGCTCTGAATTGCTCCTCTTTCGTGAAGAACTATTCCTACGATATGTTCTCTGTTTATTGATGCCCTGTCTCCCCTGAACAGGCTTGTGCTCGTATAAGAGATCAAACCACAACAGTCAAGATTTCCATGAAGCAGCCAGAGACTGATGGCAGCAACGACGGGAACAGCGACGGCGACGACAACAACCAAAATGGCAGCCAACACCACCAAACCACTCCAACACCACCGCCGCTACCGCCAACCGCCCCCACCGCCATCAGCACCACTTCCACAGCCACCACCATGACCACTTGCGCTGTTGCCGCGGCCGCCAACCTCACCACCGCCACTGCAGCAGAACAAGTCGTTAACGTGATCATTGACCACTGAGCACCCTGCTTACAGTTTTTAGCATCACGCAGTGCAAGATGTCAAACTCAAGATAAACGTCTGCAGGACACAGCACGCAGCTACTGTAGCGCATGACATGAAGTGCAAGGAACAAGAGCAACTTTCAAAACACTCTGACGCTGTCGTGCACTTCCTTGCAGGAAAGCACAGAAGCAACCCCTGATAAAACCCCTCAGCTCTCCGTCTCTAGCAGGATCAGCCGCGTTTGGTTCTGCTCGTCGATGTCGTAGCAGTCGGACATCATTTGTGAGGCCCTAGGCAGTTTATCTATTCACTCTTGCACCACATGGAATCAACCGAACACCGCGGCGTGTATGTTGTCTGCAGAGCACCTGCTCTTGACTGAATGATCCTTATTTTGGGCCTAAAGCTTTTGTTGTGGCTGTAACTGACTGTAACACAGCTTTGTCTCATACCAAGATGGGTCGACCCAGTTTGCAATTGTCGGCCTTCGCGAAGGAACCCAACATATCGATAACCAAGCAGAGACAACAGGGTCGAAGATGTAGAAGGGGGGTGCAGGGAGCTTTGGGGTTGACAGGGGGAAGAACGGCCTGACAATAGAAAAAAGCACGAGCCAAGCACAACTTGTTGACGTCCAGGCATGGACCCTCACTCGAATCCTTAATCAAAACTTGAACTTTACATGCTCATCGTAAGATGCCTTACAGAGCACCATCCAACATAAGGGTTTCACTTCTTCACAGCTTTGGCAACAGAGGTGCCTGAACCTGCATGCCAGCCTGAAAGCTCCGGGCTAAAAATGCTGGCAAGATGCCTCTACAAGCCTTTAGCTCCGTGCTGCCAAGATTCTGCTGATCGCGCTCTTTCAGAGCTACCTCAAGAGCGGATATCTTGTCTTGCCTGAGGCGGCCCAACTTATTCCTCTTCGTTCATTGCACGTAGTACTTGAACAGTTTTTTTTTGCAGTGGGTCTTGAGTACCAGCCCAACTTGCCCGCTTATGCAACTTGAACAGGTTTTAAAGTCCTAGATTTGAAAACCGAAGCGTGAGACATTCAATCGCCCTTATGCGAGTGGTAACCATTCAAGGCTCTGCCCAACTCCTTCTCACGAAGCTGAGATAAGGTTGTGTCTACCCACAGCTCATGCCGGGCTGTCTGCTAAATCTGTGCCCTTCATGAACTTAAAGCTGCCAGCCAAGCCTGAGCTATCTGTCGTTTACCAAGCCAACCATCCTGGCCAGTGGCTGCTTGACTCAACCCGCAATACCCGCACGCAGGCGATTTAACAAGCTGTAGCCCAACTGCACGACCTCATGCGACATCGGGGCTATCAGCTTTACTGGTCGGTTCTCGTGCAGCATGCTTGCTGCTGCGATCTTTGCAAAAATACCGCCTCTCAGCGGGCAAGGTATGCCACGGAAACATAAGCGACCATAGCCTACTAGCTGCCAAGGCACAGTTCGGTGACGTGACCACCTCTGATGAAATGTCGTTGACTGAACATTTCAAGGGTGCTTGGATTGGCCCAAACTGGTGAACTTGGACTTGGCTGCAAGGCGACCGATTCCACAGGGCCTTACGCTAGGCTTCAGGTTGCGACAATGTTCAAGATCTCATCGCACACTGCCATGATGGCATGTTGTTTCAGGGTCTCTTGAGGATCTGCACTGCAAGCAGAATTTCAAGGAGGAGATTGCAATAGATCTGCAGCTGCCCTTGGTAGAGCATTTCTAGGGGCATGCCTCCTCCGATCTTAATGTACCCTCAAGCGCCACTCCCCAGCTTTTGATCTAATTTAGAGTACATAGCTGCCTGCACAGTGTGTTGAAAACTGTATCTTCTGAACTTGGGTTCCTGCGTAGACGGTGTTTTTCTACAACAACAGCCGTTTCGAAAGAAACTGTTATGATTTTTCTTGAGCTGCACAATGCCAATGCGTACTTTGAGCTTCAGACCTGCAGCCTGCTGTGGCGCAAAGCCAGGTGACCTTCGCTCTTGCCGGGGCCGGATGAGCTTCCTGTTCCAGCAATGTCGCTTCCACTGCCGCCGCTCCTGGCGCTGCCTGGGTCACTCAAAGCTCAAGTCGCTCTTCCCAAGTCTTGAAGGGAGTCTTACCACCTTTGTTGCCTCTGAGGCTCTGTGCCGCATGGCGTTGACACACACCCTAAATACTCTGCAAAGCCACTGGGGCCAAGACTGGCAGAGTTACTTCGAGGATTCGATTTCTTCTTCGCATGACCATGACCTGCTTGTCGGGCATAATGCTGGGAAGGGTTGGCCGTTGATTCCTGTGCAAAGTCGTTTGACCGGAGAGCTTAACGAGTGTCAGAATGCGATATTCTGCCGTCAGTGATAGTCAGTGTAATTGATTGTAATTGAACATTCTGTTGAAGCATAAACATCACATAAGGCCATGACTAGGCCGACTAGGCCTGAACTATGTTGTGCCAATCTCAACCCGCAAAATGCATGGGTGGGCGCTTAACAGCTTGAAGAAAAGTCTGACTCACAACGTGTGATGCTTCACGCACCTTGATGACACCTGTCAGCATACTCACCTGAGCACACCCGGAACAAGGCCGAGTGTTTTTAACTGTTTCAAGTCCTGACGGCCTGTGTTAAACGATCCTACCAGGATTCTCCTGAACCTTCAGCTAAGCTTGGCCAGCCTTGCCCAGCTTGTTGCAAATTTTGAGCTTATGCCAGTAAGCGCAGCAGAAGTGGCGGATGTATTCGGCAGCTCGTGGGGACAGACCTTGGAAACGGCGCCAAGAAACATTCCCAAATTTTGGCAGCGCGCAGGGGTCTATTGTCTGCAGTTTTCCTTGATTCAAAAATACATTTGACATTTAGAGATTCTTGCTGGTCCGGTAGAGCCAAAACCAGCGCGCGCTCTGGTGTTTTTTCGGCCTGTTGTCGACACGCAAATCAAGCGCACACATCTCACGCAGTAACCCATAGCCAAAGCAAGCTGCTTCCACTCTGATCGCGGTGTGCTGAAGTTGGTCCTCACTAGCATGATCACCACCGTGCGTGCCCACTCAAAGGAGCATCTCTCAGCCCACATGCCACGCCATCACAAGTCAGAAGGCAATCTGCGGAGACACATTCGCTCAGACATCTGCCAGCACCTGATGGCTACCGGGATGGCCAAGGACATAATTTGTTGAAACTCAGCCATAAAACTAAGTGGTTCGCATGTTCGTTGCTTGCCTCTACGAACCCACGCCGAACACCGTTGATTCTGTAGATGCAGCAGCAAATACCACACTTTTCCTGTGGGCATGCTTTGAATGCTTGGGGCAGCTCCACACAAGCTTCACACCTCCACGAGTGAGGTGGGCGAAGCTAAGGTGGTTAGACTGCAAGCCCAACTTTACAGCATCAATGAGTCCAAGTGTTCAGTTTCCTTTCCCGTGTTGCCACAGGCATCTGGAGTTGCACATGTGGCACACCCGAGCTGCTGTGCATGACGCTGCTGCGCCAATGTTTGAGCACAGGATTTACCGTTGCCTCCCAAGCTGGGTTGCTCTCATGCGTCCCGCAGCAGGAAACAGAACCAGTGTCCTGCACTGTCACGCTGCTGGAATTCCTTGGAAGCTCCAAGACGGCAGAGGCACACGATCAACTTCACATCACGTTGCACTGTGTTTCATGCAAGTGCTCCTATGCCTTGCTACATCAACCGAGTTGACGATTGCGTGTAATTACTGAAGGGGTGAATGTCTCACAACAACCTCTACGAATTCGTCCGAAAAACTTGATGCCTCATCCCAATGCTTTCCAGGAACACATGTTGACAGCAACAACAATACTTTCGTGCACACTGAAAACACCTCAGCTTGAAGGTTTCTTTGCTATTGGGTTCACTGGGCCGCTCTGGTGCAGGGAGCTAATTAAGTAGTTGGCAGTTTTGAAGGGGATGTGGACTCCGTTGTTGAGGGGGCTGCAGCACCACATTCAAAAAAGTGCATCTAGTCCATGCCACGGGCAGATGCTTGCTTAATCCAATGCAATCTGAGGCTCTATGACGCGCTCTCTTGCCTCCGCTTCTCTCAGCCGGTCCCGAGCCTGTGATCAAAAAGCAACGTCGCTATGA